ATGTGCAGAATTAAGGCAGATAAATAGGGTTCTTTGTATCTTCTCTTAGTGCAAGCAATGGGAATTCTGGCTGTAAACAGTTGTCATTATTCAGGCTTCTGTTTGCTTTCTCAGCCGCCAAAAGCTCTTATTTTATAATTTCAACAAATAGAATAATTTAGACAGAACTTGAAAACTCTCCTCTATTGTTTGTTCCCCGGAAAAAGAATGCTTTCCTTCACCTTATAATTTATTGTATAAAAGTCTGTTCTATGGCAGTGACAACTTAAAGAAGAAATGAAAAGCAACAGTTTATGTTTCCTCACTAGGGAAAGGATATGTTTTCCCTTTCCAATCCAGCAAGGTGTTCCAAGTATTCATTTAACCACAGTACAAACACAAAATAAGGTGACCTAAAGAAAGAAATGGCTTCATAAACCAGATTATTCTTCTACCTTCTGTTTGAATGACCTACATACAAATCATGTTCACTTTCTAGAAACCAACCAGACTGCAACAAGTGTGTTCAGAATATAATCAAATTTCTGCTAATATGGGCCACTCAAATACTTTACTCTTCCTACTTCCCTAACTCTAAAAATTTTAGAAGACTTCAATCTATACCAAAAGTAAATCTGATCTTTCAGTTCAATTATGATTCAGTATTAAATGAAGTATATCATGCTCTGTTTTGAGTCAACAAATGCAAGGCCCAGTAATTACTGTGAGTTACTGTTGCATCTTTTTCTCCATCTCATTTTAGTTTTGACCGTAGTTTTCAGCTCTGATTTTCTATTGCAGCACTCCTCTTTGTTTGTAAGCTTTGGAACTGCTTTTTGCCAGTTTGAAACATGCAGAAGAGACAGACTTCAGTATAAGCTGCAGGCTCTTCTTATTTCCATTATGTCAAATTCATTTTGAAGTTAGGCATCAGAAATTGTGCAGTCAAGTTCATTCCGGGCCAGGACATCAGGGCTGTGCAGTCAAGCTCAGAACAGCTACTTTGCTTATTGTATAATACATTCTAAAGGAAGCAAACCCATTTATTAGAGGGAAAAGAAAAAAACAAAAACAAACAACCAAAAACCTTTGATGTTTATTAAACCTTCCTGTACACATTTGCTACTTTTTCTGATTGTTGAAAATTTTCTTTTACTGATTATTCTTCACATAAATTATGTTAAAGTAATTAAAAGCAGTAATTCTAATCAGATTTAACAATTTGCAGTGAAATCATGTCAGGGAAAAATGTCAATGCACACAATTATTATGAGACATTAAATTAAGATATTGTTTTGAAGGAAGAGGCAAGATAGAGTATTATTTATTTTATTCTCTCCAAATTCTTGCTCATTTTGGTCTGGCGGTAAAAATTTGATTAAAGTATATAAACTAATGGTGCTTTCATCAGGGTTTAATGTTGCTATGTGAATATGCTGGTTTTCAACTAGAAGGTTTGGGAGTTGATTATATTTGCTTTTAAATAGGGGGAAATGATACCCAGAAATCAAGTTAGCATCTACTTTTCTTGTTCTTTGCAAAGTCAGACTCAATTTTAAGTAATTTCTAAATTTAATACCAATTATCCTACAGTGAGAGTCTGTCACTGTTGGTGAATAAAATAACATGCAAACAGAACTCTCCCTCTCTATTTGGCAACAGTTATTTGATTTTTTATTTTTCTGCAGCTGTATGTCTTCAAGAGGGAGATCGCTGTTTTGGAAACCTAATGTAGTCAGGTCATTTACCTGTTCAACATTGTTTAATCTGGTTTGCCTAGCTTGATTATGATCTAGATAAAAATTGCAGGAGATAGAATTTATGTGTTACTTTCTCTCTGACATTTCTTTTCCTTGCTCTTTTGATTTCAGCCACTCAGGCCTCTAAGTCTTCCTGAAATGTCTATCCCCAGCTATATCCTAACAGAAAAGCGAAATGAATTTCAGGGAAATTCATTTACTACAATGTGTTGTGTTTATACCTTAGGCAATCATTTCTTCTAGTACAAGGGTGCAAAGGGCAAAAAGTAGTCCACTGGCATTTCAGTAGCTTCTTCTTTTTCTGTACAGAAATGAAAAATATTTGTATAACAAGTTCAGTGAAATTCCTGTCTTACATTAACAGCCTTTATGTGTTATTAGGATTGTATTTATTAGCTCACTTATTTCTCAGAGGAGAAGGAGAATAAGCATTTGATTCCTTTATTCTTTCATGCATTCTCTCCTTTTATCTATAGAGAGATTATTGGGATTTATTAATGATGTTTAAATCTTCTGTATTATTAACGACTTTACAGACCACTACAATGTTTTCCTATATAACTTAAGAAAGGCTTGTGTCCTCTCTTGGTCTTTGAGCTTAAGCCTGAACAAAATTAATTTATTTTTTTTCCCTTGGGACCTTCTAATGCTGACCAGGTGACATAATCCATATCCATCTCCCCAGCTCAGGAGCTCAGTAATTCAAGAGTGTTCCTTTAAGCTTGTCTTCAGAACATCCTATGCTTTTGTGGGACTCTCTCAAGGACTCCAGTTATGAAAGGGAAAAGCAGACAGATAAAAACTAAGCTCTCTCATAAAGGAAACGTTACTTGGCTTCAAAGTTGTCTTCTTCAGACACAGAATCAAGGCTGATGTTTCCTTTATGTCATGATACAGTTTATGTCACCGTTCTTAAATTTAGGAATTCTGCTCGCACTTCACAAAACTGTGACTATAGTGCTCAGTTATTGAATAATTGTACCACAGTGATGGTACATCTGTGCTCAGTGCAATGCAACATCAAGTGTAATAACACCATCACTGAGAAAAAGTAGGGAACAGCACCTCTTTTTCTATAGCAGTACCCTAATTTGTGTTCCTTACAGGAAACTGCTATTCTCGGCAGGAGTTGAAAAGTCCTAGTTGACATAATCTTCCTCTTTAGGTGTTTTCACTGTTGTAGATTAAAATATGGAAGATTTTTACAGCAGTGAAAGTTCTGCTTCTCTCCTTTTGTTCTTTTAGAATGCACTTAATCATTGCTCTCTGGGGTCATATATTCCTAGACTGAATTTCAGTGAGTGCTTCCCAGAGGTTTTAGTGCACAGCTTTAATGAAAGCTTTTGAACCTTTGGCTCAGTTTTTTGAAAGCTTCTACCAGCCATTAGAATACCCCAGGGAGGTGGGACAACTGAGGACTCCTGTGTTAAATTATGAAGTTTATTATGTTGTATTTTCCCCATGCTCATAATTTTTGTGTACAGTCAACAGATCCAAAGCATCATGTAGTCTTCTGGATTAGAAGCTGTGATATCTCCTGGGCTTTATATAATTTCTATCACAAATTAGTTTTTCTAAGAGTAGTAGTCTATATGTTGTGTGCATACCAGTAAGGACTGGATTTTGTCATGCAAATAAGGAAGAAATTTTTTATGACAGTGGTGAGATACTGACAAAGGTTATCCAGAGAGGTGATGGGTGCTCCATCCCTGGAAACCTTCAAGGTCGTGATGGGCAGGACTCTGAGCCACATGGTCTAGTTGAAGACGTCCCTGTTCATTGCAGAGGTGTTTTAAAGTTCCCTTCTAGCCCAAACTATTCTATGACTATGTGAGTCTATGGTAAATAATTGTTTTCTCAAAACACCATATTCTCTAAAATTTGATGAAAGACAGCAAGTTAAGATGGGCCAGTTTCTAAACATTACTGACCCAAATAAATGTATTCATAACAAACTTAACAGATAATAATAGCTGTTATTTAAAAAGTTCTATGGAATCAATTTTTGTAATCATTTAAAAGTTGTTAAAATTTAAATTTTAAAAACCCTTCTTTTCAATATATGCTTAGCCGTCTTGCAGTCGTACTTGGTAAACATAAAAACAAATATTTGCTATAGCTCAGAATTTGGGTCTCGTGTTTTGGCATGTTTTCTTCATATGGTGTGGTTCTCTTTCCTCTCTCTGCCCTTTATTTCTATTATTTTTCTTTTCTTCAGTATTCAGAATTGGATTTCTGTCTTGCTGAGTTACATGTCAAAAGCTTCCTGTTCTTCACTAAAATATTATCAAATGGAAACCCATAGAAGTGAGAAGAAAGACAGATAAATACATAAATAAACACTTACATACAAACATAAATACATAAATAAAAGAAATCTCACATATTTCAGTACAACCAGACAGTAATGCTCCCACTGGAAAGCAGAATTCAAGTTACTGGAGCAGTTAATAAATCTGTATGTGAATTCTGTCTCTTCCTTGGGATACTGCTTACAAAACATGTATCACAAATACAAATCCAAAGAGTTCTGAAACTGCCCCTGAGTTTTAGGGGTGTATTTCCTACTTTGTTCTACTCTATTCCTCTTCCATTTCTTGTGCAGCCAAAAATGATTAAGAAAAGGAAACCATATGGAAAGATGTGTGGATGTAGAACAGCCAGAGTTCAGGAAGCTGTGTCTGATAGCAACTCCATTGCTGTCATGTGCAAGATACAGGATATTTCCAGGCAATAGTCAGAGGGGTTGCATGAACAGAAAACAGCAGATGGGTTTTTGCTCTAAAAGTTCTGCAGCCAGCAGCTTTTGTTAGACACAATGTATGTATCTCTGGTTTTCCTGATGCTACTGACTGGGCCTGCAGAGTTTGACTGAAGGAGCAGCTTTCTTGCTTGCAGTATTCTTTAATGACCTTCAAGCATCACATAAAATTTATCTTTTGAACCTAATATATTTAAGTGATATTGCTTGATGGAGAGATAACCAGAAATGTAAACTCAGTAGAGTGGGAAACACCCAAAAATAGCAGTCAGAGAATCTGCATGGATAAGCGCAGTCAAACTATGGGATGAATGGTACTGGTGCGTATCCTCTCAGCCGGTCATAAGAAGTTTCAGCCTTTTTGATTTTGTACTTTTCTTCTACATCTGGGCATCCATCTGACTTTACATCCATCAGATATTTGCAGTAGATCCCCACTTCTGTCTGCCTGTCTCGTGTCAAACTACTCATAGCTGCTGTTGTCTTCGTTCCCCGCGCAGGTGAACGGCATCGATCTCCGAGGGGCGACCCATGAGCAGGCTGCGGCTGCGCTCAAGGGAGCGGGGCAGACAGTAACCATCATAGCACAATACCAGCCGGAGGGTAAGTGGAATGACCACCTGCAAGGCACATGGCAACAGGGGAGCGCTCTGGGGCCACTCATTTAACGGGATGAGGCTGTTGTAGGTAGCAACAGCTGTCGTCGTTATTATTGTCATTATCGTCATGGATTCCCAGCTATCGTCAGCCGTCATCTGGAATGAAAATTAAAGTGACGATTCTGTCCCAAGGAAATGGCTGTATTTTTGTCACAGGCTTGGCTTTTAGAAGTGTTTTATGCAACTGTGAGAGCGCTCCTTAATTGTACATATAATAACACAGGAATCAACGCTTAGTTAATCATTTTGTTCTCATTAGTGCTCATTTTATGTTCTTTTCTAGTCTCTTCCTGGAAATAGGTAGTGCAAAAGACAGGTTAAGGGAGAACAGAAATGCCAGGAAGATCTGACATTGCTTCAAACAATCAGATTGGAATTAGACAAGGATAAATGCTTCCTGCAGAATGTGTAGAGCTTCCTGTTATTACTTTTGGATGACAGCGTCCTTGTACCTTCAGGGCAATTAGGCCTGGATAACAGCTACTTATTAGAGAAAATGACAGCTTGCTAAATAAACGGATCAGCAGGAAATTCAGCAAAATGTTAGACATTTAAGGTAGGATGCATATCATTCAAATTTTGCTGTCTAATATTTATCTTACTAGAGGTTAAGCTAGTTTCAGTGGGCAGAAGTAGGCACTGATTGGAGTCCAGAATTAAAGGGCAGAACTCTTTGTTGTCCATGGGCAGTGATCCAAATGAATATGAGGTTCTCAAGGAATTTGTGAGAGGAATTCCTTCTGATTGGAACTCAAGGTGGTTTTCCTCTTCAGTAGTTGTTACTTTAAAGTCTTTGCCAGATTAATACAGCAAGTACAAGTGTCTGTGAAGACTTGTTGGCACCATGATACCATTTTTCAGGAAGCAGTTCTAGCTCAATTCTCAGGTTGATTCTGCCTGATTGTGCCCAGCCTGGGAGATATGTAGGTCTCATGGGTGAAATAGCAGCTCTAATAACATGCTCAATCAGTCAAGTTTTTTTAAGGAAGATGAGTTAGTACTTCCAGAATTTATCCAATATGATACTTTCTTTCATTTCTTTGGATCTTGATGATAGTGCTCAAGGAGAAAAAGAGCTTCTGTTTTAGAGAAACATACAATTGTGCTTCAAATCTGGGAACAAGCACCAATTTGTTAGTTTATCTGTACTTGAGTCACCAGACAAAATAAACTAGGCCATAGTAAGAAATGGGCAGATGAGAGCAAATGAAATTCAAAGTATCTATCTTCAGTTAAATAAATGGAACATATTAATATAAAAATGCATGAGTAATAATCAGGGTTATTTCAAAGAAGTATTGAAAAGCAATTCCAATAGAGATAGAGATTTGTGCTGGGCTCTGAATGAAACCATGTTCCTATTAGTTCCAGCAATGTTGTTTGCTGTCTGGTGATTTTACACTGCAATTATCACCCTGGTGTCTGGGTACTTGTAGCAATCACTAGCATGTCACAGTTGTTCCGTGCCATTGTTAATACACAAAAAAATGCATCATTTGACAGCTTTCTCCTATTAGAATTGAACTTTTAGTTGACATACTTGTACCCTACATTTTAGCAGCTCGGTCCTGTGTCAAATCCAGTTCTGGTGAACATACAACTCAAATGATGCTGATGAAATCCATTAGGTATTATACTGGATGTTTTTTCCATTTTTCCCATGTCATTGCTCCATTCACCAAAACCCCTGTTGAGGGCAGACTAGTCCCAACTGCATCACTTCTCAGTGAAGCAAAGCCAGTTTTCTGTTTCAGCCAAATAGCTCAAAACACACCACAGAGAGTGAAGCTTGTGAAGAACAGGGTCTAAATTTTTTCTTTTTATAGTAAATGATTGAATATTTGAAGGTAGTGAGGGTAGTCTGTATTGTCCAGCATGTGTTATGTTACATCTGAAATATTGCATTTTAATCTGAGATTCTAGTTAATGCAAACTGCATGGATCAGATTTAAAATGAAAAAAAAAAAAATCCTGAGAAATCCCTAACAACAAAGAAAGATGAAAAATATTTTAAAGAGTTAAGTATCCTTCACAGGGAATTATTTAAAGATGTATAGGTTACACAGAAAGACAAACACACTCTATATAAGACTAAATACTTATTTTATTTTAAATTTATTGCATAACTCTTTTTGTCCTGTATTTTAAATTTATACCTGAATTCTATTTACTATACCTTATCTTGTTGCATATATTGGAACATAGTCATCAAATAGTCTTAAAACTGTACAGCTGTGCTTCCCTCAGGGGCTTCTCACTTTTAAATGCTTCCAAATCTAATAAAGTACATAAGCTAAGTTGGCTAGTAGCTTGCTTTTTCCATTTTCACACTGAAAGTTCTGAGTTGTTACTACCACCTCAGGTTTTTCTGGGGAGATCCAAGAATAGCCACTACAAATGTTTACCAGTACATTTTTTTTAATCTCTTCCAGATTATTAAACCGTTAGATGTCATTGCAAAAAAAAAAAAAAATCAATGAACCCTTTAGCTATTGAATGATGATCATAGAAGTACCAGTCAATACTCTAAGTAAGCTGATGATTAAGAATTCAAATTGTGAATAGAAAAAGCTTACTTTTAGGCATTAAAGGAAAGCTTCCAGTATGCTTTTCTTGGTATTTTCTAAAAACAATAAATAATATGCTATGCTGTGGGAAGAAAATTGGATGAATATTATAGAAACAGCTTTCAAAGTTGAAATGTCCCTTTCCTTGTTTCAAAGAGAATCCCATTTGAACTTCCTTTGCATTTATTTGTAGAGACTTGGCAACAAATCTCATAAGAATGGTAACTCTTATAAAAAAAAAATAACCCTAGCGCTTGCCATCAATTTGAATAGCTTTTCCCATCAATATTGTGGTGCTCTTTTTTGTCATCCTGTTTGGAATGCACAAGTGCAGAGATGAGCTCAGACAAAACAGAATAGTATCACAACATTTTTTTGAATGCTGTCAGATCTCTGGTTGGTGATGGTGCTCATCTGAACCACACTGCTCATCCCTCAGATGAAAGTTGTCTTGGTGAAAATGCTTAGAAGAGCACAGATACTGTGAATAAAGGGAGAATAGAAGAAACAAACAGTGATTTCATGCAAAGTTGTTTAATGGAAATAAAAGGGATAGTACAAATGGAGAACCAATTCCTCAGTTCTTCTGCTCTTCAATCCCTTTTTTCCTCATTTACACTCACCACCTTTATTTCCCTCTTCTCTCTGAGAAACAGACAAGGGAAAGCATTATGAAAATACAAACAGAAATGTAAATTCTGTGAACAAAATTATGGATAAATTATGAAGAGCAAGAGACAAACAAATCACAGAAATTTTAAAAATCAGAGCTCAGCAACAGAAGTACATATTTAGGAACAGCCCATAACTCTGGGCTTTTTGAGTGATTCCTTACTTTTATTTTAAAAACTGAAAATAACTTGTGTACTGTATGTTAAGTACACATGTATTTTGTAAATGGAGTGAAATTAATGTTAAGCATCATGATCTCTTAATAATCATTGTGGATGCAGTTCGTACGGAAGTTTGTTGATGTATTCAGTCTACACTAACTAGTCCCTGCAGGCTTCAGAAAGACAACCTTTATATTCTTGTGAAACTCACATCTTCTGCAGGTGATTGGTAGGAAATCAAAGATAATTTAAGGACCAAAAGCTACTTAGAACAAAATTAGAAGACTAACCAATATTTATATTTAGTTTTGCACTCCAATTTTTAATAATCAGAAGAATTTCAACTTTCCCCGCAGCTTAACAACTCTCAGATCTCTTTTAAGATATTGCACAAATATGAAGTAAATGCAAAATAAAAACCTGAGCCTGGAAAATAATCTTAGGATGGAACAGTGTGTCTCTATTAAACAATTAAGTAGAAATTAAAACGAAAATATACCGCACATAGAAACACATTTTATACTTTCAGGTTTTTCTTCAGGACATTTTGCTGTTTAATGGCAAAAGTTGCAAGTACAGCCCAGTATGGAAGGAGTTAAGAAAAAAAAAAATTCATTTAAGTTTAAAATATGTTTTTAAAGAAAAGAGAGCTTTGGTTGAAATAGTGACAATTTGTCCTGAAAGACACAGCTTGGGAGTGAAGACACACAGAGTACTTGTCTCCTAATAAAGCTGTTAAAAAGCTTTATTGAACATTTTAGTCTCAAAAAGCTCATGTTCCTTTCCCCCACAGCAGTGTGAAAAGGTGAAGTATAGCCTTAAGATTTTTGCAAAATATTCTGTGTCAGTGGTCTGCAAGCTGAGCTGTGCTGCATTGCAGTACCTCTGCAGCTATTGCCTCACAACAATCCCTGGAAAAGTGTTAAACCAATTGGAAGTTTCATGTACTTTCAATCTTTCCAGTAAGCCAATTAACCAGCTCCCTTAACAGCTTGCATGCAGGGAAAACATTCATTGATTACAGTTTGATTAGAGCAGCTGACACTGAAGAGGTTAAAAAGTTATTATAGGCAAAGAATTTGTGCTTTATCTGTTTCTGAATGTGCTGCTGCTGGGTGCCTGTTGTGAGGTGAGTAGATACAGGAGGAGTGTGAGAGGGAGAGACACTGTGAGAGGCAGTGTCTGTCTTTGCAGGCAATAGCTAAGAGAATTCCTGAAGAACTGCACCTAAGCAGCTCCTGGAAACTCTAATGCTAAATTTACTTTTTCACTCTTTTGCTCCTAATTCTGGGAGGTTCCATAGTACATTAGAATAGACCTGACTTTTATAAGCAGCCCCACGTTTTATGAAATAATACCCCTTGTCTTACACATTTGCTTGAGCTGCAGATGCTGAGATTCACTTTTTTGAAAATATCAGATGAAAAAATCCAGGAGTCATTTCTGAAGGTCTCTGAAGTGATGGATATTTTTTAGCACTTACCCCTTTTTTTATTCCCTGTTTCTGCCTCAGAGTACAAACACTTGTCTACCCTTTTGGTTCA